TGTATTTTATTTAGAGACAGGGTCTCACTGAGTTGCTCAACGCCTCGCTGTTGCTGAAACTGGCTTTGAACTTGCAATCCTCCTACCTCAACCTCCTGAACCACTGGGATTACAGGTGTGTGCCACTGCACCAGCCAATGGAAAAGAATTTTTAAAATGGGTTCATCAGTAAGCTGGACACAACTAGAGAAAGGTTTGGAGAACTTGAAGATAGATCAACAGACGTTATCGAAACTGAAACCAGCCCATACATGAGTATATGCATGCAAAGACTTAAAAGAGAAAGAATCCTTCAAGAACCGTAAAACAATACATGTAATTCAAATCCCAGAAGGAGAAAGGAGAAAGGAAAAAGAGTGAGGCAGAGGAATATCTGAAAAAGTACCAGTGAATAACCTTCCAAAAATAATGCAAGACAACAACTCACACATGCAAGAATTTCAGAAAATACCAAGCAAAATACACTAAAAATCAACACATGTATAACAAGGTAGGGAGAGATGCCAAAGTCCAAAGAGATGGAAAAATGAAAAAAATCATACTGCATCCAATGCCCACACTCCAAGCACAAGGTAACAGGAACCTACTACTGAAAAAATGTAAAGTGTGCCATATATTAAAGACCACCAACAAAACTAGAGTTGTAGCTCTGTGGTAGACTTTACCTAGCAAGCACACAGTCCTAGGTTAGAACACCAGCAACACACACAAAAAAGTCAGAAAATAATCCATACCCTTATCTTCATTGTAGTTAAAATGCTAAAAACCAAAATGAAGAAAACATCTTAAAGGCAGTAACAGGAAATAAGATTATGTCATGGAAGAATAAAGACAAGAATTACAGCAGAATTCTCCAGAACAATGGAGTGATAACTTAAAAAGTACTCAAAGGAAAAAAAGTATCAATTATATACACAGTAAAAATATCTCTCAAGAATGAAGGCAAATTAAAGACTTTCAGGCTAACAAAAGCTTAAAGTACCAGCTTGCTGAAAATGTTATAAGGAAATTCTTGAGCCAAAAGAAATCAAATGGAAACTTAGGTCTATAAAATGAAATGAAGAGTGCCAGAAATGGTAAAAATGAAGGTAAATTTAAAGTACATTTTTATTACTTGTAATGTCTTTAAGACAAATGTAATAATTTATTATAGCACACAAAATGTATGTAAAAGTAAAATTACATCAATGACACAAGGATGGATCAAAGAGATTGAAAAAATATAGTTCATAAAGTTTAATCCTATTTGAAGGTAGAACATAGTAAGTTAAAGATATTACAAAGGATTCTGCCCCCTCAAAACCCTAAATATTGAAATCTAATTCCAGTGTGGTATTATTTATAGATAGGGCTGAGTGGGGGTAGGCGATGATTAGGTCAATGTTTTCTTCATCAAAGGAATCAGTTATTATTAAAAAAAAAGAGTCCCCATAGAGTTTGTTTGCTGCTTGCCCTCTGTGAGATTACAATGAGAAGATTGCCATCTATGAATCAAAAGGTAGGCCCTCACTATGACTAGTTCAATAACTTCAGTCACCAAATCTGGCAGTGCCTGAATCTTTGACTTCCCAGTCACCAGAACTTTTAGAAATAAACTGTTGCTTGTAAACCACCAATCTATGCTTTTTTGTTTTAACAGCCTGAACAAACTAAGACAGGCAGATGTATATAGTAAACTCTAGAGAAATATCCAAGAAGAATTTAAAAAGAGATACAATAATTAAAATAAATGTGAAAATAAAATGGAATCATAAATACTGAATCCAAATCTTAAAGAAGACAGGTGAAAAGAACAAACCGTCAG